CAGTATGGCACTCACCCTCACCTTCCTACACTCCGTTTTCCCCAGGCATTTAAAACCCATCATTTCCCTGCTGTTAATCAGCCAAGCATTTATTATTGCCTGAAAGGAGATCCCATTAGTGATTCATATGCTTTATCACACAAATCACAGAATGTTACACTCAAATCTGGAAAAGACCCAACAACAATTAATAGAGATGCCTTTTAAATGAGATACATTTAAGGAGAAAAAGGTAGTCCATGGGGTGGCGGAGAGGATAAGGCAGTTAAACATAGGATTGTTGCAAAATTTGGGCTTGAGATTTGAGACATGGGAACTAAAAAGGGAACCTGAAATTAGGAAGCAAGCATGTAAGTGGGGAGAGGAGCTTACAGTTCAATGATGTCCACAGAAGATTTTATTTTATTTTGTTTTCTCCTTAAATTATTCAAATTCTATTTATTTCAAATGTTTAGGTCACCTTTGTGGGCAGTTTTCTCTCAGGGTGGGTTACAGAACATAAAATGACATAAAGCCGTAATTCCAATAATATAAGATTATTTAAAATAAGAATACCAAATGCCAAAAATATCAAGGAAAAGCACTAAGCAGTGCCATTGCAGGTCTCTTCAGGGACAATGTAAACAAGATAAAATCCATTGAATTAAACATTTAACTAAGCCTAATGTAAAATTGAACATCATAGCAGCAGTGGAGGACAGGAGAGACTAAAGCCAAAGACAGGTCCTGAAATGCAAAAGAAAGGGGCCAGTCAGAATAGGACAACTACAGCCTAAGCTCTGCAGCTGAAAAAGTCTTGGCCCAGTAGGACAATCTGGTGCAACTGGGACTTCTCCAGCGTGACGGGAATCGGGCCTCTGATGTGAGAAAGAGAAGAGAATCCGTCAAATTACAGGCAGTAGAGCTCCTCTGTCTGTTCTCGCCCAATGGCTGCCACATCTTCCCTAGGAGATGCCCTGCAGCACCGAGAGCTGGTGTTGCTCTGAGTGACATTGCATTCGCTCATCCCACCACCCAAAAAAGATGATGCTACATTGTGACACTGGAGCACTGTGTCTGCGCTGGTGGGGAATGGTGGTTCCCAAGAGGAAACATAAAAATATAGAAACAGAGCGAGTCAAAAGGGGTCTCCTGGGCCATCTAGTCTGACCCTGGCTCCAGCCAGCTCCACTCATGACATGCCCACCATGTGCATGTCAAACAGACCGTTTTCTATCTTTGCCACTGAGGCACCAGGGCCAGCCAGGCTGTTGTGGGGCCAGCACTGTCCATGAACTCATGAATGCCAGGAACTCACGAATGCCAAGAAAATAAAATCCAAGTTTTAAAAGGGGCAGGAAGGGAAAATCACACACAATTGCTGCCTCCAAAATATGGCAACATACCTCAAAAACCTTCCATCTCCCCATGGAAATTCACCAAAATGTCTCCTTCACAACCTGCAAATAAAGCAGTGGATTTGAGGAGGGCGGGGGCATTTTGCCTCAGCTCTAAAACCAAACGTCTTTCTTGTCCACTGCTGGAAGAGGAATGGCTTTCTAGCCCACAGTATCCCTGAGGCCCAGTTTGCAGCTAAGACGGCAAGCGTGTGCCTGACCTGCACCTTTTCAGACGGCAAGTGTCTGAGGGCATTTTTAGGCAATTCGTTTATTGTGCCCTTGTGTCCTCACAGAAGTTTGCAGGTCCTTTACAAGACACCTTCATGCTCCCAGGACCACTCTCAAATTTTCCAGTCACTTTTGCAATATTTTTAAGGGCAGTGTACATTTAGTATTTTCCTAGACAGCACCATCTTTTGCCACAGAAGCCTGTTGTGATTTTGTGGGTTGCGAGGAAACCTTGGGTGAAGGAGCCTTTGGGTGAATCCTCCCACCAAAAAAAAAAAAAAAAATGGAGACGCCTCAGTGAACTGCTGGGTCCAATGCCTCACGTGGAGAAGTCCCAGTTGCACTTGACTAAATGCAGCTCTGCACATAGCAATTCCCTGGAGCTGGCGACTAGAACCTTACCTCCTGACTTCATTTTCCATACAAAGGGCTTTTTTTCTGGAGGGAGGAGCATTGAGCCATGTAAGTCCCTACCTGCACTCTGCTGTGGTAGAACATAACGTAAAGCTTGCTTCTTTATTACATATCTGGGGTTCCACATTCTTCCATTCCTTTCCAATACTGCATTGATAATTGCTTTCCCCCCACTCTCACTGGATAGGGAAACAGAAGTGCCCAAGCTGGTTCCTACTGGGTCAGGTCTGCTTATTTATTTATTATTATCTATTTATTAAAAGCTTTTGTATGCCATCCTATTATACAAGATCTCAGGACAGCTTACAATTTTTAAAAGGACAATTAAATAACAATATCAATAATAAAACAGAACAAAACAATAAACCAAACAGAGCGACTAAACTAAAAACACTAGGCAGGTCTAGCATGCCTAAGGACATCCAGAGAGTTCAATGCTGAGGCAACACTGGAACAAAGAACTTTCTGGCTCTTCCTGAAAAAGGGCAGCCAGAGGGAAGGCCAAGTTCTCACAGGTGACTGCAGTGCAAGGAAAGAACAGGGTCCAGACAAGGATCTCGGTAGTATGTGTGGTTAGAAAGAGCTGGCATGAAAGGCCAAGAAGAGGAAGAGGAGGAAGTAGTAGTAGCAGTGGGGGAAAGTGTAAGGAAAAGGGTATATCGAAGCCTGTGCTGACATTGGTACGCCACCATTCATTAGCCACTGGAATGATCCTTGAACACTTGAAAAGACTTGAATATTAATAATAACGTGACAGTGTTTGTTTTTCAGTTAAATGAGTAATTAATCAAACTTGCCATGAAAATTGCACAAGCAAATCCATACACAAAAATCCGGGCTCATCCCAGACCAAGAAATCTTTGCTGTTATGACACTGACAGCCATAGCAAGTATAATCAGGGATGAAACTCAACTCCTCACTCCTATTTGTTTTCTCTTAAAGAGCAGCTTCTCTTATCTCCTGCTTCTTGTTTCCTTCCATTCAGACATATTCCTCCCTCTTTTACCTCGAAAGACCCCTATTCCTTACCCAACCCAGCAACCTGGCCCAGAGACCACTGCTGAGTGGTCACCAAGGACATAGAAGTTGGTCATCTTACAGTAAGAAAATCTGGCAACCAAACAGCGGCTCAGACTTCCTTCAAAAGTGCAGTAATGCTGGAATGGCCTGGGGGAAGCGACCCTTTCCATTCAGGACAAGGAACAGTTAGCATGTTTGGTGAGGCATAGAACATGTAGGGCAGATATTAAAAATCGGTCCCAGCAGTCTGTGTGTGACACCTTGATCAAAAAAACACTGAAATGGGAGGGACTGCGCCTGAGGGGAATGACCGCAGAGACCTTGCCGTGCACTCGCTGGCCTGGGAGCAGCCACACTGCTGCAGGGCGACACCTGTCATGGCCTGTCATTATTTGTGCTGTTCTTTCCCTTCACTTTTGTGGTAATTTGTGGCAATTGCCAAGAATGGCCCAAACAAGTTCCACGGAGCGTTTATGTCTTTCGGCAGTGTTCCACATCCTAGGCCCCTCCTGACTTTGGCTCGGTCATCCCTTGAGCTGGTGGAAAGTTTAAAATGTTGAATAAGGATAGGGAAATAGGTTCAAACCTCTTCTCAGACATGAAGCTCCCTGGGTGACCTTGGGACTATCACTATTTCTCAGCGCAGCCTACCTCACATGGTCGTTATGAGGAGGGTAACGTGCGAAAGGGGAGAGTTGCTTTGAGCTCTTTCGAGGAACAAAACAATACAACATTATGTATTTATTTACATACATGTGTACTTGTTTATTTAAGGTAGGTTAAACTCTTTCAACATCTGTGCACAATACTCCCATGTTATGCACTTTATAATATTATACTTTATACATAGAGTGAGGAGTAGTGGTGAGGGTGTTGTAATGGGGACCCAGGAGCTCTGGGTTGTAGTTACTACTCAGCTATAAAGCTCCCTGGGTGATGCACTCTTAGCCCACCCTACTTCACAGGATTGTTGTTGTGAGGATAAAATGACCAAATAGGGACTAGGACCCAGATCTCCCAGCTCCCCCTTCAAACACATGACACTGGCTCTGTTCCATGAAGGTTCCCTTCATTCCCAGTCAAAAACCAGAGGAAGGAGCTCATGAAAACTGGTTCTTGAGGCTCGTGGGGTCCCAGTTCATACTAGAGACTCCCTACATTATAGAGAGGCTGGTACCGGCCACTCATTCCTGCTTCTGAAGGAAGGGCTACTCCAGTTTAATGTCCGAATGAGGCGCTGCATCCTTATTGGGCCTGTCCTGTTAAACATTTCTTCCCTCACCTTGAAAGCCACTGCACAGCTCTGCCATGCACTTCAGACCTCTTTATGATCTTGTTCCTGCCACCGCTGTCCTTCCTTCGTCCTTCACCCCCTGTTCTGCCAGTGCCCCTCTGAGAGTGGTGGAAAAGGCCCTTTCCTCCCCTTAATGCCTCCTGCACTGCAAGAAGCCAAGTCCCGGGCACAGAGAGCAGGCTGATTACGATCTTTCGTTCTAATTTACTTCTTCCCTCCACTGGCTCCTTCTTGCCTAGGGGTCTTCAGGCCCCTTCTTGGGAATGAACTTGTAACTGCCTGTCTCCCCCAACCCCTCCCCCCCCCACGCACTACTAAGGTGCTTGATGTGGACAGTGATTTGATGTGGAAAGCGATAACCTTTCCCGTGCTGCTGAGGGCTCTGTGCTCCGCTGGACTGGAGAGCTACATCAGGGGACAGGCTCAGGCATCTGCTTTCAGCCTGTCAAGAGAGCATGAATTCTCCTGCCTGTCGTGAGGCTGGCACTCCTTCCCAAAGAAAGCAATCTGTCTAGCAGATACTACGAACCTCTTTATTCTAAACAGCTATACATGTAAGTTCGAAACAGGATAGAAAGTTGACCCCTCGCTCTGGTGAACTTTAGCCCACACTTTGCTTATGAACCCTCCGTGGTCGCACCCCCGGAGGTGGGGCACTGTGAACTCTCTCTTGTCCTTGTTCAGTCAATCGGGATTCCAGCTGCACCAGTCTGCGCATGCGTCTGTGAGAATGAGCATCCTCAAATCCCGCTTGCTCCTTATCAGTTTGGTTCTCACACTCTATATCAGAGTTCATTCCCTTGTTTACCCATAAATTGCCCTGTTCCTACACCTCCATTTTGTCTTCTTTCAGCACCTCCCTATCCAGCTCTGTCTTACTCCTACCATCTGTGAGAGTGGGGTGCGAAGTTTGTTCTGCTGGAACCAGAAATAAAACTTCACTGACACTCTGGTTCTCATGAGAATTTTCCTCCCCTTGTGCTCGCATAAGAGACTCTTCTGAGCGTGCACCCTAGCCATGCTCTCCCATCTGATTTTATCGGAGTATTCACAAGCAAAGTTAGATCTGAATCTGGAATGAAAGTAAGCCAGCTCCTCACCCTGATTTCAGAACAAGGTCCCTGCAGAACACCCACATCCAGAGGAAGACTGGCCACTTATACCTTGAATAGTCTAACAGAAGGGAAATAAGCATGTGCTGTTTTTTATGCAGAGAAAAAAATATCCCCCTGTTGACATTTCCTTGGCTTCACAACTACTCAAGGAACAGGAGCCGTGTTCTCCTTTGCTGCTGGTTATCCGGGTCCTCTGGAGTTACTCAGCCTCAGTCAGGATGGGCCTAGCAGGTTTTCCAGCCTATCAATCGTCTATCAGACATTTCTGTCTTTCCCAGATTGTCCTTAGTCCACTTGACTCAAGCCAGTTTTGAGAGGTTGTTTGATTTCTCTTAGATAAGAAACAAGTGACATTCAATAAGCGTTGTGGATTTTCATTCTTGCCCAGAATGTGCCATAAATATGTGCCATAAATATGTGCCATAAATATGTTGGTTTCAATGCACCATAAGAGGATCCACAGGCACCCATAAACAGGTCCCGAGCATGCACTTTCCCATGCTCAGAAGTTTCATCCACAAGCTGAGGCTGCACAAGCCTGGTCAGCTGGTCATCTATAGTCTCACTAGCCCTTGGTGCAGCAGGTGCAGCAGTGGGCTAGACTAAGCCTCCAGCAAGGTGGGGCCAAGCTGCCATCTAAGGCTTTACGGAATCTGGCACCTCACCCACTGGGGATGGGAAAGTCTGTCACTCTCATTTTCTCTCCTATTTGAATTCTTAAAATCACAAGTATTCTCTCTCCCAGAATTGAAGAACTTCACCAAAGTTGGTAAATGTGGATCAAACATCAATGGAAAGGAAATCCCCAGTTGCACCAGCCACATTCAAGAGGCACAGCTATTCCCAGCATGGAAGGGTGTATGAGGTGCCTGCCTGTCATATAGTTGCCAAAAATGAGGAACCTGTCAAAACTAAAAGAGAAATTGAAAAGAGCATGTGCACAATTCAGTGTTCGATTACTTCTAATTGCAAGGTACTCAAAAGTGAGCATGGACGGACAGAAGAATATGTCAGGTTTGGTTTGCCTGACATTCCTTTATTTTTTCAAGTTGTTTTTTGTCCCAAATATGGAGAATTTTGCAAATCTTGGCAAAAGGTTTTCAAAATTGAAATCCTTACCCATTCCTACATCTCTCCTTCCTGAGTTGGCTGCTGCAGTGCCCCCTCCTGGCCAGCAGTGGAAAGTGGCACCAGAGCAGGTCAGTGGCTCCCTCTCCTGACAAGCTGCCACTGTGGTCACTCCCAAAATTGTCTGCCACTGTGCTGGAGTCGTGGCTTGGAGGCCTGTGGGCCCCTCACATTGCAGAACATACAGAGTGGTGTCCATGCAGAAAAAAGGCTGCAGCCTCAAATTTCTGTTAAAAGGTTTCCAATAAATCTCCCTGTGTTTCATTCTCTCTGTCTCCCTGTTTAATCACAGATAGTAAATACCTTCCTTAAAGCTGTACAGCCTGACGTGAAAGTAGGGGAGGTTTATTGTTCATTTCTCCAGACCTGAAGTATGCTGCTTCCAGGGGTGTGTGGACTACTCCCCATCCCAACAAACACACACAGGCCGCCTGTTTGCTTTCAGTGTACAAAGCAAGCGCACATACTCAGGATCTCTTTGCTCATCAGACAGAAGCTCTTGAGTCTGTACTGTTGCTTCAGGTGCTTGTGGGTCAAGGTCCAGGTGGACACAGCTGAGCATCTGCGGGGCCCACAGGGCATCAGGATGCCTCAGCCACGGCCTTGCCCATCTCCTCACTTTCCTCCTTTCCCATTCCATTGCCCCGACTTTAAAAGTAATTGTATTGACCCCACCCCCCCATTGAGTGCAGCATGGCTGAAGCTGCTACCGCTGCTCTCTGCCATCCAATCTACCTCTTTGATGGGATTGCTGAATCTTATATGCATAAAGGGGCAGAGAAGCTTCTGCCAGGCCCCTTTCTCTTCCTCTGCCCCTCTGTGCAGCCACCGGCACAAACGCACAGCACAGAGGGTTTCCAGGGAGACACCAAGGCTTCCCTCCTCTTCGAAATTGCTAGGCTGTGATCCGCACAAGCTTCACAGTTTGTTATATTGGGGAAATAGAAGAAACAATCACATCCTGCCACCTAGATGCTGGCAGGAATGCGTATGCATTATATAACAAATATAAATGCAGAATGGGGTGCATAACAGTACCACTTTGCCTAGCAGTCACAGTGATGAGGTTTCACAAAGCAGAGTAAGTTAAAACAACCTAGAGCAACCTTCCCCAACCTTGTGCCTTCCAGATATATCTCGACTGCAACACCCAGACTTCCCAGACCTGCTGGATGGGAGTTGCAGTCCAAATGCCTCTGAAGGCCACCATGCTGGAGAAGGCTGACCTAGACTATGACCCAGCTGGGCCCAAGGCTTTCCTAAAAAAGGATGCAGGACCCATGCACAGAAGCATCCCTGTATGGCTCTTCCTTCCTTCCCATTGGCAGTGATGAAGAATATTCATTCAGACTCCATATTTCCCATAAGAACTGTATTTGAATCCTCCATGTCAAAAGGGAATTCATTCTCCAAGAGGCAATACTTCTGGAGTAAAAAGAGCACCATCCATTGATCCATGCAGAAGAAGGAGGTGTCAGCTGGTTTGGGGAAAACTTGGGGTTTGCAGTAGCAGACACAAATCTTTAGGGGGAAAAACACTCTAAAGAGACACTCAAAAACAGCTCAAAGAGATCCACACTCATGCCCAGTGGCTATAAAATATGAGGTGATTGCTGGTGGACAGGGATGGAATACACAAAATAAAGGGTGAATTTCCTTGAGGGTGTCTTTCTTTTTTCTTTGAAAACAAAAAGTGCAGTGACTGGGGTCACTGAGGGTGCTGAGCTATTTAACATCACAGAGCTTTCAGGGCAAAAGCAGGTCACAAGGTGATGGTGTTGAGAATGTTGCCTATCAACCAAGAAGAGAGAGATAAGTTTCCTTTTAGCCTGTGTTTTTGTATAAAAAGACTAGCACTGTGTTTTGCAGAAGTGGTGGTCTATTTTGGCAGAGTTCCTTAAAATTATCACAGAGTTGGATGGGATCTTGAAAATATCACCTGTTCACAAGGTGATAGCAATCTTTCAGCTCTAGGGTCAACATCCATTTCGGATAAGTTCTTGGGACCTCTTTCTTGTGGTAGGGAGGATCACAGGCAAAAAAGGGGGGCTGAAACATCCACACCCATCCAAATGTCATTGTTAGCTATTTATAGTAAGAAGTATACTACTCAGAAGAAGGCATGAGGACAAGCTGTCACAAGTACTCAGAAGCAGTTTGGAAAGCCTCAGCAGCATTTTCAAAAGGCACCCTAGACTTCAGGAGTTGGCACGCCTTTTCTGAAGTTAGCATGAGCATCATGCTTTCATAAGTCTCTGCGTGACAGCTCAAAAGTAAGCAGAACACGCCTCTGTCAGACAAGACTCTGAAGGAAGCAGATCTGAATTATCCATCACATTCCGGTGCCTTCTGTCCTGCAGGGAAAAGCTCTTCTGTCAGCAGCTGAACGGAGAAACAGGCTTTTCCTTGCTAAGTGCAGAGAAAGTCAGCCCTTTTCCACTGGGGAAAGCACTTCTCTCCAGTCCACTGCTGATTGGAGACAAGAGCTTTCTCCTCCATGGCAGGGAGGGGCCACAGCAGATCCACTGGGAAGAGGCCCCAGGTCCCTGATCTGGTCTTGCCCCCTGCTCAATGCAGGCTCTACAGCACAGGATGCAACTGCAACACTCCTGCAAGAAGGGGTGCTTTCTGCAGAAATACTTCCAGTGAAGGAGTACCACCTCCTCCTAAGGGAGCCTATTCTAGTACTCACAGCTAGCAATGCGGTTTCCCTAAGATTTAGTCAAAATCGGTTTCCCTGCCCATTGTTTCTAGTCCTGCCTTCTGGAGTGTTAAGAGAATAGCTGTGCTCCCTTTTCTGCATGTACTTAATTCCCTGGTTTTTTTTTTTTTCCTTCAAGGAAGCCAAGGTAGCTTATATAACCCTCCTCTTCTCAGTCTTGTCCTTTCAACAAGGGTAAGTTGCCCCTTGTGCTCTGTGGCTGAGTGGGAACTAGGACCCATATCTCCTGGATCCCAGGCCAAAACTCTTAGCACCACACTTGCTCTGCACGACAGCTCTTTTGGGTATTCAGGAGGCTGGCTGCTGTCATGTCTGCATTTAATCTTCTCTTCCACAAGCTAAACATATGCAGCTCTTTCAGCCTTTCCCGACTGTCCAGGCTGCTCTTCTCTGGACACACACTAGTTTTTTCTTAAAGTGTGGCACCCAGAACTAAACAGGGTCATCCAGAAGTGGCCTGACGAATGCAAAAGAAGAGGAATTATATCTTTGGTGATGAGGACAATTCAGTTTCTGTTAATGCAGTCCAACAGCATCATGCTGCATTGACTTGCAATGCAGAAAGGGTGCATTTCAATGGGGCTACCCATAAGTTTCCATGTTCAGCGGATTATGAGCACCTTATACAGGCTGAGAGAGATACGGAGCTGATCCTCATATCTGTGCTCCTCCCCCCCTGTAAATTAGCTGGATCAGGGCAGTCCAACTTTTTGTACCTTGAGGGCTGCATGAGGACTTTTGACACAGAACCTGGGGCAGCACAATGAATTGCATGTCCATATTGTTAATTAAAGTGTTCTCAATATTTCTTTAATTTGAAATACACCATTGATATATTTAATTAAGCATTAAATGAGGGAGAAAACTGAAATGAGGTCTCATAGGACTAACTGAATGAGAAGAGAATGCTTTGTGGGCCTGCAATTTCTGTAGAGATCACAGGCAGCTCCTCTGGCCGTGGCCCAAGCTCAATGACCGCTCCTCTGGGTGCCCCATCCCTTCCTGCCCTGTTTCTCCAGCCCAGAAACCCTTCCGTGTGGCCCCCCAGCCCCTTCTTGGAAGGGGTGCACTGAGCCTCTTGTACTTGAGCTGACCAACTCTGAGCACCTTTGTGCTTGTCAGCTGGAGCAGCATGGGGCATGCTGGGGCAATCTCTCTCAAGGCCGCCAGCCCGACTTACTGTCTTCCTGAACCTCAGGAAGAGAGCAGGACAGGTCGGCGACCGCAGGAGCATTTGCCGAAATCATGCCCATGCCATCGCTGGGATCAGGACTGAGGGGAGGAATGGGGTGGGGTTGGGGGCTCCAAGCAGCAAGAGCAGAACAAGGCCTTGTGGGCTGTGTGTTGGACCACCCTGACCCAGAGGATATATAGCAGAGAAGTAGGATTTGTGTAGGTCTTGGGATCTCAGTTCTATTAAGCAACTGAAACAGATCTATGTCATAAATGTAAATACGCAAATAGAAACAACATTTTCTTACATCATCAGATATAATTCCGCATGTTTTCCACTCTAAAACAAAGCAAAGAAAAATGAAAAAAAAAGCCAAAAGTGCTGTTTACAAACCAAAACATCTAAAGAACCAATAAACAGCCATGAGTCAGAAATAATGACTGCATAATAAATGACTCACAGAGAAAACCTCATTTTAGAGGATGGAAAATGGGGGCATTACTGTCCACTTGTACTATTCTCTATGTCACAGATAGGATGAAGAGTGGAGCTTCTCTAGCAGATATATACTAATGTTCTCAAGATTTCTTCTCATCCCAAAGTCTTGGGGCTGATGGCAAAGCCAAACATTTCAGCATCTCATGTCATCTGATGCTGTGCAGTTAGATGGGACCAAACCCCACTGAGTACAAAGGGTGTTCTTTCCAAGCAGGAAAAGATACTGAAGAGGAAACTCAAATACTTTGGCCACCTAATGAGAAGGACTCACTGGAGAAGACCCTCATGCTGGGAATGATTGATGGCAAAAGGAGAGGATGAGGTGACTAGATGGAGTCACTGGAGCAGTGGGTGTGAGCTTGGGTGGACTCTGAGGGATGGTGGAAGACAGGGGGAATGGCTGTGCCTCCCCTTGCCCCATCATTATCCCGAATTGATTTTAGGAAAGGGGAGCTCAGAGATAGCTCCTGTCTCTTCCTATACATCTGAATACCTCAGAATGTCCTTGTTTTAAGAGGGTGTCAGAGAGATCCTCTTCCAATGCTTGTGGTGCACCCTTATTCCTGTCCATCAGCTCCTTCTCATCTCCTGTAGAACGAAAGCTTGGTGATGCATTGGGGCCCCCAAAGTAAGTTCTGGAAGGTGTGTGGATGTGAACTTGAAAAGTTTGAGAAATATTGCTTTCAGCAAAACTGTTTGGTAACAGTAATTGGCGGAGTGGTAACAGTAAGAGGTGGAATGAAGCTGCTTGAATAAACCCAGTGACACCACTGGAAAATGCCTCTGGGTCATCCAAGGATGTTCAGGTGGAAAGAAAATCTGCTCTTTCTGTGGTAGAGACTGTTCCGGCCCTGGAGTTTGGCATGGGTCCAATGTGACTGGATCCACATCTTTGTATATGATGCTATTGCAAGAGCATTAAGTAGTTCCTGATTAATACATTATGGGGCAGAGGCAGGGCCACCTCAAGATATTTTGACATCCTAGGAAAGGTACAGACCCCTTCCCTTTCATGCTTCCTCTATTAGTCCTTGAACAGCATGACAAAGATGTGTGTGCGGGGGGGGGGGGGGGAATATTAGTTTTCCGGGGATATTAGTATCTTCTATTTTTATGTCTTTACCATTAGAAAATTTATCTATTAATTCAGTGGCCAGTACTTTATACTGTAATATAAAGTACTTTAAACATGTATTTGGAACACACAATATATATTGTGTATATATTGTTTAAACTTGTCCAGACCTGAGACCCACTTCTGACCCAACCTACAACATGGGACATATTTGCACTTTTTTGTTTATACTGGGGTGGGTGGGTGAGAGAATCCACACACCCACACCAAACATATTTCCACACACCCATGCCCTCATTGCCAAACATTGCTCAAATAACTTTAAAACCATGCATGCAAAACAGAAGTGGGTGGGGGATCTACACAGCCAAGCGATGCGGTGGTGGAGGTGATGATGATAATGCAGCCTGGACTGGCCACTGAAATGCTCTCCTTTCCTGTATTTCAAGCCCAGCCACTATTAGGGTCACTTGGCATCCTGAATATCGTGGCACCTTAGGCAACTGTCCTCTTTGCTGCCCTAGAATCAGCCAAAAGCACAGTAAAGAGCATTCAAGGCAATGTCAACCTTATATTGTTCTATTGTTATTGTTATATTGTGAGCCACGCAGAGAGCCCAAATATGGGCTATGGTAGCAGCATACAAATCAAAACAACAAACAAACCACTACATTATCCAATTGGAAGCTGCATATA